GGATATATGAGTGAGCACAACAAATTAGCCTGCCTCATGGACATAACTTTCCAGTAGGAGGCAACAGACAAACAGTAAAAATAAGTGGATTATATAGTATGTTTGAAGACTGTACATGCTAGGGAGAAAGAAAAAACAGGCTAAAGGGGATATAGATTGGAAAGATACAACTTTAATAGATGGTCAGTGCAGGCTGCTGGCAATCATGTTTCCAGGGCTCACAGCCTAAAACCCTGGGGAAATGAAGGGAGCTAGGTCCCTCTAGGTGTCCTCTCTCAAGCCATGTTCCATAGCCAGAAGCCACATTCTTTCCTGCAGTAGCCTGTGCTTTGGTTTCATTGTGTCCTTTCTACAACTGCCTGCATCATCAAAATGATCATCCACAGTGATGCGCAAAGTGGACCAGCAGCATCAATCTCACCTGGGAATTTATTAGAAATTCAAATTCTGCAGTCCCACCCCAGACCTATTAAACAAGGAACTCCGGGAGTGGGGCCCAGTAATCTATGTTCTAAAATGCCCTCCAGATGATTCTGGTGCACATTAAAGATTAAGAAGAACTGAATTACAGGATCTACTTTCCCCTTTCCCCGCCCCTCAATGTCCAATCTTGTCCACTTACTAATTCAAAATTTCATATTCCTAATTTCATATTCCTAATCTTGAAAATTGAGCCTGGCCATAGTAGCATGGGAACTGAGGCTACCTGAGTATAAATATAAGCAAACATTTCCCTTTACTTTGCTTTTCCAGGGATTCTCAATTTACTTTCATCCAGACTTTAAGTTACCTGACCTCTGGTCATCGACCAATCTATCATATATGACACAACTGGTACCTGTTCTTCAAGAAATTCCACATTTGGTACATCTACCCTCAAGAAAAGTACCACAAGTCACAGTTTCACTAGGTACAACCATTTCATATCACAGCTATGGTCAGCTGCCACAAAAGATCTCACCAAAGATAAAAATATATTTATAATTAGTCTTATTTTTACAGCTTTGAAATGTAAATTTACTCAGACTTCAGGGAATACTACTTCACAAGAGAAAAAAATAGGTCAAAACATTGCACTACACTATTTCAAAGGACACAAAAATACTTACAGCTTATCATGAAGCAGTTCTCCCAACTTTAATTCTAAAAGAAACAAAGAGAAACATCCTTTAAATAATATCATATTTATATTTAATCATTAATTCTATGAAAAAATGAAAAACATTAGCACCAGAAAAAAATGTGCTCACATTAATTAAAATTTACTTAGGAAATGGTTATTTCTACTCGATTAGTAATATAATGCTTTCTATACAGTATCTAAATATTAAGAGTAGTACAAATCAAGTGGCTTAGGAAAAAAATGAAACTTTTGAGAATTAACAAGTGACCCATCACAGGCCACAATATTCTTTTTTTTTTTTTCCCTTTTTGTCTTTTTTACTGACCGGCAACGGGATCGCAACCCTTGGTGTCGCGCCCGTACCGGGGACCGGCAACGGGATCACAATCCTCGGTGTTGCACCCGCACCGCGCTCAGCCAGTGAGCGGGAACCGGTCTCCACATGGGATCCGAACCCTCAGCGGGAGCGCCGCCGCGCTCCAAAGCGGCGCACTCTCCAGTGCGCCACCAGGCCGGCCCAGGCCACAATATTCTAATCAGAATTACCAACCTCATTTTTAAAAATCACTGGTATATTTTCCCTAAGTAAACTTTTCCATAGAAACCAATTGCTACTTCTCAAGTTGTTCTTAAACCACTTAGTACCAAAATCTAATCTTTTTGTTCCAGGAACAGTGTCAAGACCACTTTTAAAAATTCTATTTAAGTAATGTAAAAAACACTTGAGTGAACAGCTAATCAAAACGGCATTCATTCCCTATAAAGCAGCAGTCCATAACCTTGGCTGCATATTAGAATCAACTGGGAAGCTTTATAAATTCCAATGTCCACACCCAAACCAATTAAATCTAGGGGTGGGACCTATGCAGTAGTTTTAAAGCACTCCTTGTGATTTCAGCGAGCAGGTAAGGTGGGAACCACTGCTATAACTTGTTAACTAGCTTAAATGTTGACGTTCAAACCCTATATGAGGTGTACAGAAGCAGTCTTCAGAACTTTACCCAATCCTTCTAGCTAACCATTAAGTTAAATAAAATTA